TGGGGCTGCACAGAGCAGCCTTCTAGGCTGTGTGGGGCTAAGGGGCATTGGGCTTGGGGTGATCCTACAGGCTTTATGGGGCTTCAAGGCCCTGGACTCGGGGTGGCCCTGCAGACCGCGTGGGGCCACGGGGCTTGGGATGGCCCCAAAGGCTGTGGGGGGCTATGGAGCCCCTGACTCGGGGCAGCCCCTCGGTGAGGCCAGCTGGTGCGGGCTGGTCCTGTGCTCCTGCCACGGGATGCAGGGGAACCCTTTGCATGGTTTGCTACCCAAAAGTGCCAGCTGGGTGCTCCCCGAGCAGCGGGAGAGTCACCTTGTTTTTCCTGTTCTCCCAGGACGTGCGGGCAGGGCGGTGCCCGAGCTGGGGCGCAAGGAAGAGCACCCCACAAAGCCCAAACCCCCGTGTTCGGCTACGCACGGTGCTGCCCAGCGCTCACGAGCCTGTGAGTTTGCAGGGTTCGCTTATCAGGGGGTTGCAATGGGCTGTGTCACGGCCTGGGAGCGCAACTGAGTTTGTCTTGGTGACGCTGATGCGTGTTTTTGGGAACAGGGCAAGTCAAATCATCTTTTATGAGGCTGGTAAAGCTGTTGATTGTGGATTGAGCGGGGTCAAGGGGCCAAGTCACCTACGGTGGCCATTTGGGAGGGTGTGAGTGGAGCAGTTTGGCTGGAGGATCTGAACTGGATTAGAGATTAGTGTTTGGTTCTTTGCGAATCCCTAATCTCTTAATGCTTCTCTGGGTGGTAACGCTTCAATCAGAAGCAGGTGTGGACCCATGTCGGAGGTGGGCGTTGAGCTTCCCCCCTTGTACGTGGGAGAGAGCCAGCTTGGGAGACGTCGCTGGGTTTGGTACAAACACAAGGTGGCAGCTGGGCTCGTCATTTCATTTTCTGCCAGCTGCTGAGCCCATCACCCCGTGAGCAGAGCAGCCAGCAGTTGTGGGGCAGTTTCTCAGACTCTGCCCAGACTGAGAGCCAAGATCGGCCCTCCTGCCTGTCCTCTAAACTCGACGTGGGAGAGAGCCAGCTGGGGAGACGTCGCTGGGTTTGGTACAAACACAAGGTGGCAGCTGGGCTCGTCATTTCATTTTCTGCCAGCTGCTGAGCCCATCACCCCGTGAGCAGAGCAGCCAGCAGTTGTGGGGCAGTTTCTCAGACTCTGCCCAGACTGAGAGCCAAGATCGGCCCTCCTGCCTGTCCTCTAAACTCAGCTGAAGCAGTTCAAAGGGGAATGAATGTCTGCTAATCCTTACATCAGCCCCAGCTTAGAAAAAGAGTAGTTTTGTGCAGTTATCACCACCTAGCTCTGCTGTGGAGAGAGGAGGGCTTCTCCTGACACTTAGAAGCACCATGAGGTCTCCTGGGGCTAGGAAGGATGGATAAAAACTATGGCAAACCGATGAATTGAAATGTTATGCTCTGGTATCGGCATTGATTGGGCTGTGCTTTGCTGTCCCTTGTTTCACCTTGAAGCCTGAACAGTCTTGTTAGCGAGGAAACATGCCGTGTCTTTCAGATGTCTCC